TTACTCCAGTATGGTAGATGGCAAGCTGTGTTTAATCTCTAGTTTATTAGATAAAATACTTCACAGGTTAAAATAAAAACTTTAGACAAGTTAAATTTTACAGTTTAATTGAGCAAAAAATGATTCTCGAATCAGACAGCCCCCAGAACCAGAATAGATTCAGAGTGACTCTAGGCCTGCTGCATGGTAGGATAACAAGGAAAATGATGTCCAGAAAATGGAAGTGAGGTACAGAAATAGCTGGACTGGTTATAGCTTGACGTTTGCCTTATTTGAACCTGGTTTGAACAGTTGGTTGCCTGTAATTGGCTGAAACTTGGCTATTTCTTACAAGAGTAGGTGACTGTTTTCACATCAAGTTAACCTTGCATTTCTCTACATATGAAGAAACCTTTAGGGCAAACTTAAACTATGTACAGAGACAGCTTTAGGCCAAACTTCATTTAACATACATCTTTTTTTTTTGCACTAATTTTCATCATGTAGCGTTTCAAAGATATTTTTTAGCCTTCACTCTATTTGGACTGGAATGTAAACTGTGTGTGTGTGTGTGTGTGTGTGTGTGTGTGTGTGTGTGTGTGTGTGTGTGTGTGTGGCTTTTTTGAGCTTTTCAACCTTTGTCTTCCTGTTTCCTCTGCCTTTTTTCCACTGAAATTCAAAAACTGTGAAACGTGATTTCCCCTTCTAATACACCTTAGTGCTGTTCAACACTCATAGCCAGAAGTCCTGTCTGGTCTCCATAAACTCTTGGTTAGTCATAGTCAAACCAGGGAGAGAAGGAGGGACTGAGCCAGGTGGTGAGACATTCAAGTGATGAGGGGAAAAAAAAAAAAAGAAAAAAAAAAGAACATGAAGGGGAACAAAAAAGGAGAAAAGGAGGAAAGGCAGGGAACATTACGAATGAGACAAAATTGGGAAGAAAAAGTGATTGAAATGAGAATCCTCTGAAAGCCAAGTTGACTCAGCCCTTTCAAGAAATCTTAACTCCTCCTGCCCCTGTTAAAGGCATGTGAACCACAGCAATTCCATCTGTGGAGTTGGGCAAATGAGGAACTGGGCAAAATGAGGCTGAGACCTACTGGGCTGCATTCCCAGATGGTTAGGGCATTCTAAGTCAGAGGATGAGATAGGAGGTTGGCACAAAATATAGGTCATAAAGACCTTGCTGATAAAACAGTTTGCAGTAAAGAAGCCAGCTAAAACCCACCAAAACCAAGATGGCCAGGAGAGTGACCTCTGGTCGTCTTCACTGCTACACTCCCATCAGTGCCATGACAGTTTACAAATGCCATGGCAACGTCAGGAAGTTATCCTATATGGTCTTAAAAGGGGAGGTGTGATTAATCCACCCCTTGTTTAGCATATAATCAAGAAGAAATAACCACAAAAATGGGCAACCAGCAGCCCTCAGGGCTGCCCTGCCTATGGAGTAGCCATTCTTTCATTGCTTTACTTTCCTAATAAACTTGCTTTCACTTTACTTTATGGACTTGCCCTGAATTCTTTCTTGTGTGAGATTCAGGAACCCTCTCTCGGGGTTTGGATCAGGACCCTTTCCTGTAACATTTTTCTGGTGACCACGAAAGGGACTGTAGCAAGGAAACTCCTGACCCAAAGGCTAACTTTGGGTAAGTAGTGGGGTCTGGTAACACCCCCACCATTGTCAACTGTCTTACGTTAATTCAGAATGTAGGTCAATTTAGTACTTAACTACTTTGCGATTGCTGGAATACAGCTCTTGTGAAGTGTTCTTGTGCACTGTGACACAAGAATCTGGCCACGCTTTTATGAATTTTGTGTGGAGCTTTCCATGAGCGAGAGTGTCCACAAATGTAATTTGAAGAGAACTCAGGACTGAGGCCCTAACGGTGGCTCTGGTTCAATTTTCAGCATCTCATATCCTCTTCTGCAGATTTTAATTCTGGGACAAGACTCTTATTCTGCTATAGTAGAGTGTCTCTGTGCTAATTCAGGGTTGGGGCTCATTACATGATACCCCAAAGTATGGTACTTTGGAATGCTGAGTACTTCGAACTGAAGAAAATTGGAAAGGCCTCAGAAGTAAGGTCTTTCTGAACTTCTCCTGTCCTGTTTTCCACTGTAAGCAGTGGAAGTTACTACAGCTACTGGCAGCGAATTGCAGCAACTTCAATTCTTGTCTCCTCAGAAGACGTCGACTGAAGGGCATAAGGCAGAAGAAGAGACTGAGGCAAGTTTTAAAGCAGGAGTGAAAATTTATTAAAATGCTTTAGAGCAAGAACGAAAGGAAGGAAAGTACACTGGGAAGAGGCCCAAGCGGATGACTTGAAGAACTAGTGCAAGGTTTGACCTTTTGACTTGGGTTTTTATATATCAGCATACTTCTGGGGTCTTGCAACCCTTCTACCCTGATTCTTCCCTTGGGGTGGGTTGTCCAAATGCACAATAGCCTGCTAGTGCTCGGGAGGGGAGCGTGTGCAGTGTATTTATTGAAGTTGTAAGCATGCTCACCTGAGGCGTTCTTCCCTTTTTTGGTGGAATGCCCCCAGAAGGTCATATACCAGCTAAATTCCACCATTTTGCCTCTTAGTGTGCATGTGTGAGGCCACTCGCCCAACTCCTGAGATCTCATCAGGAAGCTACTGATCATAAGTTTCAGGGTTTTTCTATCTATAGGGAAACTGCCTTTCCCTGGCGCTGGCTGTGAGCAATTACTATTTTAGAGAGGCGGTGTGACCACTGTCTGACCATCACCTGATGATCGTCTGACATTCCCGGTGGAGTGTGGGGGACCTATCCTGCCCTGTTTGTATCTGACCAGCTACCCACTGTAACACCACCACTCTTCGCAGTGAGTCATGGAAACCAGAATTCCTGTTTCCCAAGGCAGGTCATAGAAACTAGAACTTCCCTTCCTCCAAGCAAGTCGTAAAACCTAGAAACGTTATTTTCTGCCTTCTCCCTTGAAGACCCTCATTTCAGAAGGGTCCTGCCCTAATACCAGAAGGAATGCTACACAGAGAGGCCAAGAAGAATATGAACAGACAGGCCTTGCTGGGTTTCCCCATTCAGTCTATTACATTAGCTCATTATCATTCTGTTTTTGTCCAATCACATTTCTTTTTCTTTTTAAGACACAGGGTCTCTGTCGCCCAGGCTGGAGTGCAGTGGTGAAATCATTGCTTACTGTAACCTTGAACTCCTGGGCTCAAGCAACCCTCCCACCTCAGCCTCCCAAGTAGCTAGGACTATAGGATCACAGTACCCAGCTAATTAATATATGTGTGTGTGTGTGTGTGTGTGTGTGTGTGTGTGTGTGTGTGTGTGTGTGTGTGTAGAAATGGGGTCTCCAACTGTTGCCCAGGCTGGTCCACACTCCTGGACTCAGGCGGTCCTCCTGCCTTGGCCTCCCAAAGTGCTGGGATTACAGGTGTCACTCATTGTACCAGGCCTCTAATCACATTTCTACACAGCTATCGCCTCTTCATATAACCTAAGCATAAAAATAGACAGTTTCCTCTAGGTCTTGTGGTTTGCATTTTTGGACTCTCATGTCATGTAAAACTTTGATTGAATAGATTTGTTATGCTTTTTTGTGTGTGTTATAGGAGTGTCAGCTGTGACTCTTAAAATGGGTAAAGAAAGTTTTCACACCTTTCCACCCGTACACCAGTCAGAGTTTACTACATAATTTTGGAATTGAGTGATTTCAGATGTCAATTAATTCAGCTTCATCTTGGCTTCACCACATTCTGTCGTGTGTCTGTGTGTGACTCAGTAACCACTCTGCACCTCAATGTTTTCAAGTAAGGTTTCAATAATAAGGTTAAGCTTATTTTGTAAAATAAGGTTAAAATATATAGGGTATTGTGAAAATGACATAAGTTATGATTTACATAAATGTAAAACACTTTGAATCATGCACTTACTAAATGCTCAAAAGGGTTCACTATTATTATGATTGACTTAGATTAAAGCTATTGTAAATATTAACTGTTCCTCTATGCTATCAGACCTCAAAGTGTGGTGTGGGGATTCATGGGGGTGGGAATTTTCTGGAGACCCTTTTCAGGAGTCCATGAGGTCAAAATTATTTTCTTAATACTAAGAGGTTATTTGTATTTTTCATTCACATTCTCTCAAGGAGATGCAGTAGTTTTTCAGAGTTACCTGAGAAGTGCTAACGTTATCAACAGAAGCAGCTAGAGAATCCAGTTCTCACATGAAATCAGACATTAGAGACTTTTCTTACTAGATTCATTTTTAAAAAAAGTTTCTTGTCATAAAAATGTTGTTTGTTAGCTAGTAATGCATTAGTAATTTTAAATCAGTATTTTAAAACTTGTTTTAATTCTAATACAGTAAGTACTGATATAACTGACAGAAACAAAAGCTACTTGGGCTCTTTAATAATCTTTAAGACCGTAAAGGTATCTTGAGGTCAAATTTGAGAACCAAAGCTGAGATGCAACCTGTTTTTGAACAAACGTGGATGCCTTACAACCACAATTTCATCCTTTCCAGCCTCCATGACTTTTTCTTGTTTCCTCTGGCTGGGCTCAATTTCTTATCTGCCTGCAAAAGCCCTACTCCTCCTTCAAGAGCATCCATAACTGAATTTGGTCCAGACTTCGCTGCCTCCTTGGCATCCTCTTCCACGATGCTGGGACCTCCAGGGCCGGGCCTCCCTCGGACACGTGCCCTCCTTAGCCTTGGGGTATTAACATTGTTTTGACGGAGGCTCTCTTGCGAGCCCAGTCTAGATTTCTCCTTACCAGCCTGGCACAGGCACCAAGGGGAGGTGCCTGGGCTCCACAGGCCCAACGGGCCAGAGGGTCGCCGGTAGCGTCAACCAAGCGCACGACAGCCCACGGGTGGCCAGGCGCGAGGGAAGAGCCGGAGCCCAGTCCCAGCCCACCCGGTTTCCGGCACCGCCCTGCCGCGTAGGGGCGGAGTCGCGCGCCTACACAGGGTGTGGCCTCCAGCCCGCGCGGGAAAGGGCCTGCGCCGCATGCGCGCGCACAGTCGGCGGCCGCGCGCAGCACGCTCAGGGCCGGGATGGCGGCGGCAGCGGCGGCGGCGGCAGGAAGCGGGACACCCCGAGAGGAGGAGGGACCTGCTGGGGAGGCAGCGGCCTTGCAGCCCCAAGCCCCAACGAGTGTGCCTGGGGCTCGTCTCTCGAGGTTGCCTCTGGCGCGAGTGAAGGCCTTGGTGAAGGCGGACCCCGATGTGACGCTAGCCGGACAGGAAGCCATCTTCATTCTGGCACGAGCCGCGGTGCGGCAGCAGCGCGAGGGCACGCGGGGGTGGGGGAGGTGGAGCGCGGGGCGGAGCCTCGGGGCCTTCCGCGGGCGGGGCTTAGGGTGGCGTGGGCCGGGTTTTGAGATGTGGGTGTGGACCCGGAAGGCGGAGGAAAGGGGCCGGGGACCTATGCGAGTTGTGTGTTTTGTTAACACTCCTCCCTCTTGTTGAGGACCTGGTTAGTGAGTGACTTTAATTTGTATCTCCAGGGCCTCATACAGAACTTGTAGGAGACTTTAGTGAATGAAGGAGAATACTGGGAAGAGGGTGGCGGAATGGATGTTCATGAAATCCAGGACAATCTTAGCTTCCAGAACATTTTCTTGCCCCTGAGCCTTTCTTCTCCCTTTCTGCCCCCACCCACAAACCAGAGCCCTCACCTCCTCAGTGTGCTAGAACCCATTACTAAAACTTTGCTTTTTTACTTCACAGGAACTGTTCGTGGAGACCATTGCAAAAGATGCCTACTGTTGTGCTCAGCAGGGAAAAAGGAAAACTCTTCAGAGGAGAGACTTGGGTAGAGTGGCACTGCCAGTGTCTGGGGACAGAGAAGAGAGGGCTGGGCTGGTTTTACCTTGCGCAGGTTGAGAAGACGTCACTCTGATCTGAGAGGTGCCACAGCGTCTCTCCCCAGGATGGTTTCTGTTGGCCACAGTGCCAGGAAGCCCTACCTGTAGAGGCTCTCTGCTTGGGGTGGTGGAGCAGTGTGTGGTGTCTGGGGTTGCCAGAGCGGACTGGATCCCTTCATACCTTCTGCCAAATTGCACCAGAAAAAGATAATTCTTTTTCACCTAGCAACTGGGGATTTGATTTCTGACTCTTGTCTGGTTGGTAACCCTCACCTGTGTAAGCTTTCATATACCGTGTTCTCATGCGCCCTGCGTCTATTGCCACATTCTTCTCTGATAACTTTAAGAGCAAAGCGAATAAATAATTTAGATGTATTTTAGGAGCCCCCTCCCCCCCGCATTGAATGGTATTTGCCTACACTTTTCTTACTCTTCTAGGGAGACAACTAATATATATGAGAGTTGCTGGTAGAGTAGATACGGATCTCAAGGCAGCAAGGGACGCATCTTATAATTGCCCTCATTTGTCCAAAGCCTCATGCCCTTCACTGTAGATTGTGCTGTTTTCTGACTGACGTCAGCATGGCTGGAGTTAGTCAGGTGTCTCTTTGCCTTGTGTTTCAGATAATGCAATAGAAGCTGTGGATGAATTTGCTTTTCTGGAAGGTGAGTTCTCTCTCAGTGGGCAGTCATTTCCGCCTGTCTTTTGCATGTTGATGTGAAATTCAAAACCTCATAAAACGGATGCCTGCTTCTTGTTCGTGTAGGGATAATTCTTTCTCCGTACTTGCTGTTAGAAAAAAGTAACTTGCTAATGAGGTTCAGTTTTCTCCCTTGGGGAATTAAAACTTCTACCTGAAAATTGCTAGCCATAAAGAAATAGGAGGGAATATAAAGATGCCAGTGTAGTTAGATGAATTCAGAAGTTTGATTCCTATCTTGTTCGCCATACCTAGATATCAGCCTTGCCCCCCTTATCATGTTAGAGATCAGAAACAATTGTCAACATTTAAAGGGTGACTGCTTGTTCTTTTTTCTTCAACAATCTGTGTGAAGTGATTATTTTGCTGCAATAAGACTTGTACTTGTCTGTATTTATTTTTAGGAGTCATGGATTAACTTGTGTACTAACTAAATTTTTTCATTAAAAAAGCAAATATTTGAAATACCTAATTTTAGCTACCTTGCCTCAGAGCTATTTCTGCTACTTAATTTTTTTTTTTTTTTTTTGAGACAGGGTCTCGCTCTGTCGCCCAGGCTGTAGTGTGGTGGCGCGTTCTCGGCTCACTGCAAGCTCTGCCTCCCGGGTTCACACCATTCTCCTGCCTCAGCCTCCCCAAGTAGCTGGGACTATAGGTGCCTGCCGCCACGCCCGGCTAATTTTTTTTTTGCATTTTTAGTAGAGACGGGCTTTCTCTGCGTTAGCCAGGATGGTCTCGATCTCCTGACCTCGTGATCCGCCCGCCTCGGCCTCCCAAAGTGTTAGGATTACAGGCGTGAGCCACCGCACCAGGCCGCTACTTAATTCTTAAATCTGATCAGCTTACTCTTCACTACACATATATAGTCATGTGCTGCATAATAACATTTTGGTCAGCCATGGACTGCTCACATGAGGGTGGTCCCATCAGTTTATAATGGAGCTGAAAAATTCCTGTTGCCCAGTGAGGTAGTGGTCATAACATCCTAATGAAATACATTACCTTTTCTATGTTTAGATATGTTTAAATACGCTTATCACCATGTTACATTTGCCTACAGTATTCAGTACAGTAACATACTGTTCAAGTCTGTAGCCTGAGAGCAATAGGTATACCCTGTAGACTAAGTGTATAGTAGGCTATACCATCTAACTTTGTGTAAGTACACTCTATGGTGTTCACACAGTGGTGAAATCGCCTGAAGATGTAATGCATTTCTCAGGATGTATCCTTGTTGTTGAGCGACACATGACTGTATTTTGATTGAATAGCTTGGCAAAAGCCATGTATCCTCATTTCATTCTCCCAGGGTGTTCTCATTACCTCCTCTAAGCCTTATTACCTTTAGAAATCTCTTGATTTATTCCACTCTTTTTACTCCTTTGTTCTGCATCTCCATGTCAACCTAGGCCCCTGGTCCTTTTGATAGATATTTTTTAAATGTCTTATTAGATACATTACCATGGCTAGCTTCATGCCTAGACTATTGAGCATTCTTTTAATTTGCAGATTTTTCTTCAGCCTCTCTTTCCACCTACTCATTTTTCTTAAAATTAACTTTTTTTTAGTCCTACCTAAGGCAGGCACTCCTTGTGACAGACTTTCTGTAAGTTCTGCAGTCAAAAATGTTTGGAGCCTACTTTACCTCTTCATTTTTAATTACCAGCTTTTCAAAGACATGAGTGATATGATCAGATTTGTATTTTAAGTACACAACATTGCTGTCCTGGGGAAAATAAACTGGAGGGTACTAGGAGTAGAAGTGGGGAGGTTTTATGTAGTTTTCCACTCTAGTCTCTATCACAGCATAGTGCTTAGCTTGGATTTTTAATAATGGCCATTTATTGAATGATTGCTGTGTTTATTTTCATCCTCTGCTTTCATCCTCATTTATCTCTGTAATTGAATCCTTCTGCTCTAACCTACTTTGGTAGATCTGAATGTTAGCCACCGTAGCCCCTGTGGATTCAGTCTGCATTATATTATTTTTTACGTGGTAAAATAAATGTTCTTATGTCCTTAGATGTGTATGGTGTAAGTAAATACATTTTTTTTCCTTTTTATGAGCAATACATATCCATGGTTGAAAATCAAATAGTTACCTAATGGCTTATAATGAAGTATAGCTGCTGTCTGCCCACTGTTTTGTTAGTGTTTTGAGCTTTTCTGGTGGTTACGTTTATTTCTAATTAATATGCTTACCCATTGATGTGTCAGCTGTAGACAGTGTGTACTGACTTCCTGCTGTGATAAATGAGGATTTGGCTAACCTGTAGAACCCCATAAATCCCCTCTTGTCTTTCTTATTTTTGGTAGTTGTATCACTAGTTTTAGTTTCTTTACCTCTACAGTTTATATAACATACTGGAATGTCTTCGGTTGTTGTTGTGTCCAACTTTTAATGCATTTCTTGACTCCCCAGTTTGTAAAGTATGACTATTAGTGCACGTATCCCTTTTCCCTTTTTAGTTCACATCTAGCTATCAATTTGTGTTATCTAGTAATTTGACATTGTCAAAGCTAATAACATTTAAATCTTATCACAATTAAATCTTCCATGCTTTATCCCTCATTGATTGTAGAAGTTGAAAACTAGGGCTGTAAACAGTCTTTCTCTACCCTTTCTCTGTCCCTTAATTCCTCATTCAGGTCCCCTCCCTGCAAACAACTGTTCCTAGTTTTCTTGTATAACTTGGATATTTTATGCAAATATGTTTATATGTGTATATGTATATTCTTTTTCTAAGTCTTATGAAATACAACATATGTGAAGTGTGTGTGCTGTAAATGTAAAGTCAATAAATGATAAAATGAATACCCTCGTAACCACCATCTTGGCCAAGAGATAGGGTATTGTCAGCCCCCAAAAGTCCCACATATATTCATTCTTCATCATATCTCTTCTCATCCCTTTTCCCGACATTACTGTATCCTAACTTTTTGAGTAATTGCTTCCTTTTCTTTATAGTTTACTATATTAGCATGCATCCCTGAGTACTAAAGTTTAGTTTCGTTTTTTCGAACTCTCTGCAAATGGAACCAAACCATATGCATTTATTGGTCAACATCTGTCACACAACTGTTTTCTTTAAGTTAACGCATTTATGAGATTCATCTGTGTGATTGCACATAACTCGTTTGTTCATATTCCTTGCTATATGACAGTACCACAATTGAGCTATTTTAATGTTGATATTTGGGAAACCTTATTTTTCCTATTATGAACAACTTGCTATGAACAGTCTTGTACATGTTTCTCTAGGGTAGATGTGTATGTGTGTATAAAATATATAATACTGCTGGAACCTAGGATATATAGGGTATTGATATCTCCATCTTTGGCAGGTACTGCTGAATTTCATGTATTCCAGCGGTGCATGATAATTCCCATTGCTTCTCATTCTTACCCACACTTGGTATTACCAGAGTTTTTGATTTTTGACATGCTGTTATTGAATGTAAGTGATAGTTGCATTGTGGTGTTAATTCGTATTGCCCTGATTGTGGGTAATATTGAACATCTTTTCATATGCATGCCTGTTTTTTTTTGAGGGGTGTCTCCTATTTTTCTGTTATGCATTTTTGTCCTTTTTAAAATCGATTTATAACAATGCTTGGTATATTTTATTTCATTTTTATTTATTATTTGTTTTTGAGATGGAGTCTTGCTTTGTCATCCAGGCTGGAAGGCAGTGGCGTGATCTCTGCTCACTGCAACCCCCGCTCCCAAGTTCAAGAGATTCTCAAGTAGCTAGGACTACAGGCATGCACCGCCACGCCTGGCTAATTTTGGCATTTTTTGGTAGAGATGGGGTTTCACTGTGTTGGCCAGGCTGGACTCGAACTCCTGACCTCAAGTGATCTGCCCGCCTCCCCCTCCCAAAGTGCTGGAATTACAGGCATGAGCCACTGCGCCCAGCCTTTTTTTTTTTTTTTAAACATAGTTCTTTAGAAGAGAGCCCTGTGATCTTTTTTTTTCTTTTCTTCCAAGTTAGGTTTAAATGCCTGTCTTCTGGTTGTGCTGTCTGTGGGGAGGGTTGTGGGGAGACGGGCAACTGTTTCTCATACAGACCCTCTGGTCAGTAACCAAATTTTCATCTCACATCGCCATTCCTGATGACTTGAGCCTGGAGCTTCCTCATGGTTCTTTTAGGCATATGGGCCTCCTCTTCTGCTGCAGCCCCTCTGTGTTCATTCTAGGCTCCTTTTCCCTCTGCTCTATTTATAAGCCTACTTTGATCAGGTTTCTGTTATTCAGTTTTTTTGTTGAAATCCATTAACTGCCAGTGGGCCCCTATTTGTTGTAGATTTATACTTTTTAAACTTTTTTACCTTTTGAATGGAATCTTGGATGGGAGGGCATATGTACTTGTGGGCCCAGTCCCCCATCTGGAACTGAAACTTTTCAAAAGTTTCTCTTTAATTAGAGAGTTTACCTCATTTATTTTATATTATTCCTTCCTTATATGGTCTTCATCAATGTTCATTAACTTACACAACGACTTCTTAGCTCTTTTCTCACTTCTAATTCTAACTCTTCAGACTAGTATGCTTAATTCCTAACTGCCCACCATCTGTAATGACATGTTTTTCCCTGGGGATATTTTGGATAGATCATCCTCAAAATTAGTATTTTGGTCTTAGAGAACTGCTGCCAATACTGGAGCCTCTTCTGCATTAACTTAGCCCAGCTTGTTACACTAATCCAGCTCCTGAGGTCCCCTGGTATACTCATTGCTCTTTGTATGTTTAGGTACTTTGGATTGATTGCTGAGCGGGGCAGTTTTGTGAGCCTTCATCTGCAGCCTTCAGTTCACCCCTCTCCACAGGCCTCAGCTTTGAAGAACGGAGTCTTTGCACTTACACACACTCTTCCTGTTCTGCCTTCACCTATGCCGGGATAAGCAGAGATCTCATCAATGAGCTCTTCTCTGCAAGGTCTTCCACTGCTTCTGTCTGTCTTCCATATCAAGCCTGGATGCAGCTGTTGCTGCTTAGAGCAGGGATGAAGAAAGTGTTCTGCATAAGTGGCTTCCTGAATGATGAGGACCAGAATAAAGGTTTTTGATCAACCTCAGTCTAGTGTGTTTTATAATCTCACCTTTGTTCTTACCCTGTGACGGGAGAGCCACCATACCTGATCACAGACCTTCCTGATCTTCCCTGCCAGCCATTCTAACCTGCAGTCCTTTCATTAATTTTGTTCTTTTATTTTTCCAGCACATCACCAGAAAGTGGTTCCAGAATTTATGGAACACCACTTGACCTCAGGAGTTCAAATAAATAGGACGGTCCTAGATTGAAAGCCAGTTAAATTTTTTTAAGTTTTATTTATTGACATATAATCCACATACTCTATATTTCACCAATTTAAAGTATGCAATTCAGTGGTATTTAGCATATTCACAAATATGTACACCAGTCACCTCAGTCGATTTTAGAACATTTTCATATGAATGGAATCATGTAATAATGTGGTCTATCGTGTCTGGCTTTTTTCACTTTGATAATGTTTTTAAGGATTATCTATGCTATATAGCATGTACTAGTACCTCATTTTAAAAAATTGTGGTAAATTGTACATAAAGTAAAATTTACTTTTGTAATAATTTTTAAGCATGTAGTTCCGTGGCATTAAGTACATTCACATTGTTGTGCAACTAACACCATCATCCATCTCCAGAACCTTAAAAATCTTCCCAAGCTGAAACTTCATACTCATTACATAATCACTCCTCATTCCCTACATCCTGCAGTCCCTGGCTAAGCTTTGGTTTGGAGGAAAGTTGTGGGTGACATAACGAAGGAGGCAGAGTACCTAGAAAGCAGCAGTTGAGCAGCAGGAAGCCTTGGACAGTGGCTGTTAATTGGGTCATGGATCATTTTAAAAATAGTCCATAGGATTTGCTCCCTAGAATGATGCACAGATGTTCAGTACTGTAACATTTAAAAAATAAGCTTTATTTTGGAATAATACTAGATTTGCAGAAGAGTTGCAAAGGTAGTAGAGAGAAGTCTCATATGCCCCTTACCTCGTTTCCCCATTGTTAACATTACCAAGTACATTGGTCACAACTGAGAAACAGACATTTATAGGTTACTGTTTAACTACAGTCTCTTTGGATTTCACCATTTTTTCATTAATACCCCTTTTCTCAGATCCAGGCCATGTTACTATATCATATTTACTTGTCATGTTGCCCCAGTCTCCACTGGTCTATGGCAGTTTCTTAGTCTTTCCTCATTTTTCATGACCTTGACAACTGGAGTAGTGCTAGCTGGGTATTCGCTAGGATCTCTCTAATCGGGGATTGTCTTGTGTTTCTTGTAATTCTATAACATTGCATATGATTTTGAGCATGAAACAGACCCCAGAGGCCCTTCTTTAGGCCTCCTATTATTGCCAATGGGAATTTAAAAGGATATCATGGTCCATTTTCAAGATAAACTCAGATCACAGTTTGCAGCTCATTAGTGGGATGTGAAATCAAAGTGTGTTGCCACTAGCATTTTGAAATAATAACAGTGTTGAATTTAGTAACGGTAAGTGTTCTAATTGTTGTTTCATTTACATGTGTGTATATTAGGTCATTGTGTAAAATGTATGTGGTAGGCAGACAGAAGGAAGGCCCCCATC